ATTTCCCTTATGTGGTAATAAACTACAAAAAATTATTCTGCTCCCAAGGACTACACTAAGACTCGTGTTGTCTTCCAAATCTCAGGGCTTAAATCTTCAATTATTGATTGGTAAAAGAACTCCTGTAAGGATTGGCTGGAATGAGTAGCTTCTCATATGGACTTGGACAGACTCTTCAAGCTCCTCGTGCTTCTATGGAACATGTGGAACCCAATGAACAAATGGCTGCATGACGAAGAGATGCAAGATGATAGGGAATTGGCGATCGCTGCTTGGGGCTATGTGTAGAATTCGTTAAAGCCAATTTATGCAGAAATTTCAACACTCCTCATCAAAGTTCGATAAAGTCGCCCATTTGGAGTCTTCCTAAGCCAAATTCTGTAAAGATTAATGTTGATAGGGTTTTTAACGTAACAAAAGCCACATCTGTAATAGGTGTCGTTGCTAGCTAGACATCCCAACGGGATTATACTTGGGGGCATGTGATGTCAAATTAACCCACCCTTCACGGCGGAATCAACGGAAGTATTAGCCTTCAGACAAGGGAAGTTCACAATTTAGAATGGTTGGATGGACATAATTATTGAAGGCGGTTCAATTTTCATAGTGAACCGACTTTCCAATTAAAGTGAAGACGATTCAACTATTGGATTGTTTCCCAAAGAAGCACATGCTATTCTGAACAGGAATTTAAGACCTTAAAGTGTTTTACGTTAACTATGAAGTGAATCGAGTTGCTCATCCCTAGTGTAATGGGCTATGTCGAGACCCAATTCGTATTATTTTTACTCTGAAGAACATGATTGCAGTAAATTTGTTGTTATATTGGAATATAATGAATTTCCTCTTTTAAAAAAAATAATGAACTAACCAGGAATATGTATGTTGAAAAAAACATATTATATTATTAAAGAAAAATCTTATATTTAATTTTAAAAAATATAACTAGATAATTTTTACAATTTGAAAATAAATATAAATTTTATATAAAAATAATTAATCAAGAGTAATGATACCAAAGAGTTTCCCCGTGATTTTATTATCGATTAAAATAAGATCAAAATGATTTGAAGTCAATTTACTCACACCACGATCGACAGCCAATCAATATTATACAATTTGAGAAGTAAATGTAATTATAAGATTTTGTGGTCTTCCCTTTCGGACAAGTCAATCCACTTCATGTGGTCCTACTTCATCACGTTCATTAAACAAAAAATGAAAAAAAAATCAAAGCAATATCTAAAGATAAAGAGTCATTTTACCTACTACACAACATTTCATGTGGTTGGATTCGTGATATAACGTTTCTCATATCTTCACTTATTAACGGAATAGGACAACGACTGGTTTTAGGTTATTGATGGATGTATGGTTTATAGCTACGACGAAACTTATGAAGTCGATTATGGCATTTACTCTAAAGAGTGACACAAGTTTAATTCCAGTTGAAATCTAGAAGAACTTGTTAATGTTTAATATTGAAAAATATGGTTAAAGAAAATTTTAATGATCCCCTCTTGATTTAGTTTTATTTTTTTATATATTACTGGGTGATAAAATTTAGATTTGGTATTGAGAGTTATGAAGCACTGGGACGGTGAAGGAACCCCGTTTCAAGTATTTGATATGTTTCTGGGATGGTGAAGGAACCCCGTTTCAAGTACTTGATATGTTCCCGGCACGGGTACAGTTAAGATGTGTACCGGGGACATGCCACGGTGATGGGGTACGGTTGAACGAATTCAGGGACATTCAATGCTAACTTGAAGACGTTTCAGGGATGACATGTGACTATTACATGCGTCTCCATGGGTAATTTTGACATTTTAATTAAAAAAATATTATAAAAAAACCTAATGTAGTGTTGAATATGTTCTTGAAGTTAAACAAAACCATCTCATTTGTTTTCTTAATCGCCGATTGGAGAGGAAAAGAGGCCACCGCCGCCAAGATAATTATACTCTGGCGCGTTCGAAACTTTAGACTTTATTTCCAGGTATGTTTTCTTCTTTTCCATATAACTTTTTTCATCCATTTCTCTTTGATTTTTCCTCTACTTTCCCATTTAGGATTGGTGGTCTCTTGTGTTAAAAAAATTACAAGCTAGCCTAATTGTTAAACTATTGGTGGATAAAATTACATGGTTTGGGTTGATTACAATCAATGTAGTCTAGGAGCGGTTCCTTGGGTGGATAAAATTACATGGTTTGTGTTAAAAAAATTGCAAGCTAATTGTTGTATTGTTTTTATTTTTTTTTACTTTGGATCTGTGATTTAAAGTTTATTTGGTTTCGTTAAGGGCTCTAATACGGTTCAATAATGTAGCAAGAAGCTGTTGGAATTTACATTTTCTAAATGTTCTATGGGTTTAATTGTTTTGAATCTCCGTGTGTTGATTTTTTTAGCTTAAAATGTGTGTAAAAAATAGTATATTGAGGCAATAGTAGAGTTAATAAGGTTTGTAGATTGTTTAATTCCATTAAATTGATGCATGATCTTTTAACTCAATTGATTTTCTTTTGTTTAATGTAAACATATCAATTCAATATAAATATGACATCTCAAAGTGGTAGTGAGACTGAAAGTGCTAATGGGAGTGAGTTAACTTCATCATCCCAAAATGAAAATTTATCTCCATTGTGGGATTATGTGACAAAGATAGAAAAATGGAGAACTATTGGAGAAACTCGGAATTACTAATTTAACATTTGCGGTGAAACTCGAAATGGAAGTTATACTAGGATAAAGGCACATTTGCTTCAAATTTATCTCAAGTTAGTGTTGAGATTGATTCTTCTTCTAAGAAGAGAAAACTAGCTTGTAACCTCTTTCTAGATCATTTGACATGAATGCTAGGACCCAATTAGATGACGAAATTGCAAGAATGTTCTACACCAATGGTTTACCCTTTAATCTTGCTAGAAAACCTCATTATCTTATGGCTCTCACTTTTGCTGCAACTCATAATATACATGGTTATGTTCCCCCAGTTATAATAAATTGTGAACCACATTGCTCCAACAAGAAAAAAATAACTTTGATAAACTCTTGCAACCGATTAAAACAACATGGCAAGAAAAAGGTTTGACTATTGTGTGTGATGGTTGAAGTGATCCAACAAGAAAGACTTTCATTAATTTCATGGCTACTTCTGGAATTGGGCATATGTTTCTTAAAGCTGTGAATTGCTTTGGTGAAGTCAAAAAAAAGTTTTTCATTATCATTTTGATGAAATAATTGATTGATGAAGTGAGTCACCGAAATATGGTGCAGATTATTACTAAAAAGTAGCTAAATACATGGGTGCATGAGAGATTATTGAGAGCATGTATCCTCATATTTATTGGACATCGTGTGTTGTACATACACTTAATATTATCTTGAAGAACATTTGTTCGACAAAAAATATCGAGGGAAATGAGAAAACATATGACTTGTGCTATTGGAATTCATAGGGGTGGAGTACAAATCAAGAATTTTATCATGAACCAAAACATGAGATTGGTAATCTTCCAAAGATTTAGTCCTCTTAAGTTACTTTCAGTTATCGATAATCATTTTACTTCTATCATTGTGATGCTTAAGATGTTTAAGCTCATCAAGCATAGACTTCAAGCAATGGTCATAAGTGATGAATGAAATTCTTATAGAGAGGATAGCACGGGGAAAGAAAACTTTGTGAAGAAAAGCTTGTAAGTGATGATTGGTGGGATAAAGTAGCTTACATCATTGATTTCACAAAGCTCATCTATGACATCCTTAGAGTATGTGACACTGATAAGTCATGTATTCATTTGGTATATAAGATTGTGAGATTCCATGATGAAGAAAATGAAGTGTAAAATTTACAAGAAGGAAAAACGATCTCTTTCGGACTTCAATCCTTTTTATCATATTGTTTATGAGATTCTTGTTGCTTGTTTGATAAAAAGTTATACTCCTCTTCATTGTCTAGCTAACTCACTAAATACAAGGTATATAACTTTGTTAGTTTTGAATTTTATATTCTCAAATCCTAATTTTTTTTATATATGTTTAATTTTCTTTTTAACATGTTGAAGGTTTTATAGTGATGGTTGGCTAACCGAGGATCCTATTAGAGTTGAGGTGGTGAAATATCTCAAGAGAATGGAGTGTTTTCGAAGTTTATTTCCAAATGATGATGATTATGAAAAATTATTGGATAAATATGCTTGTTTCTCACTTTAGAGTGAGCCTTTTGAAGAATTTATTTCTCTTACAAATAGGTATTCTTCGGATCTGAAAAGTTGATGGGAAAACTTTGATGCTTAAACTTCATTGCTCCAATCTTTGGATTTCAAAGTTCTTGGAGAACCTACTTCATCCTCTTGTTGTAAAAGAAATTGGAGTACTTATTCCTTTATCCACTCATTTAAGAGGAATAAGTTAAAAGCCAAAGATTTAATTTACATCCACTACAATATTCGTCTTTAATCAGGGAGTTATATTCAATACGTGGATGAGTAACCCAAGATGTGAGATGTTAGTGGAGATGTTTTTGATTCATAGGGAGATGTTGGATATTTAGAGTTTATCGAACTCTAATTTGATAAGCCTAATTTACAGAGTGAGTTAATCTCGGAAGATTTTAACAATGTTTGATTTGTGTTGTTTAATATTGTTCTAGACTTAATATTGTCGTTTAAGTCTTGAGATTTGACACTTTAATATTATGGGTTTTTATGATTGTTTTAGGCTTAATAATATGGTTTGTTTATGGATTTTATTGCTCTATAGTTAATATTGTGGCTTGTTGACTTCGTCAACTATTTAGCGAGTGGTATGTTGCCACGTGATCTTAATTACCAAGGAAGAAAAAAAAATTCATGAGAGATGTTAGACAATATCATTGGGAAGAGCCATACTTGTCCAAGAATTGCAATGATCAAATTCTAAGGAGATGTGTCCCTGAATGCGAACTGTGAAGCATTCATCATCACTACCACAGTGCCCCTTATGGAAGTCATTCTGGTGGAATGCGTACAGTAGAAAAAGTCTTGAAATGTGGTTATTATTGGCCTTCGCTGTTCAAGGATGCTAATGAGTATGTTAAGCAACATGATCACTGCTAACGAACATGCAACATTTCTTGATGCAATGAAATGTTGATGAAGCCTATTTTAGAGATTGAACTATTTGATATTTGGGGGTTGGATTTCATGGGGCCATACCCTTCATCATGTGGGAACTTTTATTATCTTGTTCCAGTTGATTATGTCTCAAAATGGGTGGAAGATCTAGCATTGCCAGCCAGAAATGCTAAAGCGGCTCTTTGATTCCTCCACAAAAACATATTCACTCATTTTAGAATAACTCGCGCTTTTATTAGTGATGAAGGTTCTCAGTTCATTGGAACACAAGTTACTACAGCATTGAATCGGTATGGTGTCAAGCATCAGATTGCTACAACATATCATGCACAAACCAATGGCCAAACTGAAGTATCAAACCATGAGATCAAGCAAATTCTTAAAAAGGTAGTTAATCATTCACGAAAGTATTGGTCTCAACACCTTAAGAAAGCATTGTGGGCTTATAGGACAGCATATAAAACACCACTCGGCATGTCTCCCTATCACCTTGTATATGGCAAAGCTTTCCACTTAACAGTGGAGCGGGAGCATAAAGCTATGTGTGCATTAAAGAAGTTAAATTTTGATCTAGATGCTAAGGGGGAAATGGTGTTGGATCTTAATGAATTAGAAGAGCTCCGAAATGATGCTTACGAGAGTTATTGAATTTACAAAGTAAGCAAGAAGTTGCATGACAAACATATCATGCCACAGTAATTCATTTTTGGACAATAAGTCTTGCTATTTAACTCTCGATTGAAGCTATTTCGTGGGAAATTATGATATCGGTGGTTGAGACCATTTGAAGTATTTTTCCCTATGGATTCGTGCTATTAAAGAACTTGGTGTATGTAAGCACATTCAAAGTTAATGGGCTGCATTTGGAGCATTATTGCCAACAAAAAAGCCTTCACATTGCTTCTATCACACTAAAAGAACCCCCTTCATTTTAATTTCTTTTATTATTGGTACAAGATTTTTCTACAACATTGTTGTTTTTCTCCTATTCTAGGCATGACCTCAACTATGCAACAATCCTTGGCCTTTTGTATACAGAATGCTACTAGGAATGTTGCAGCAATGGCCAGTTGGAAGGTGATTTTTCAAAGGTACAAAGTAACTGTGAGTTGTACCTCACTTTATCTTCTCCAATTTTAACCGCCCAAATTAGCCAATTAAAATCGTTCATCTTAAGAACAAATCCTGGTGGCGTTGGACAAATCCCAAACCTATCTCTCCAGCATCTTCCCCCATTATTGCATTGATACTTAAGTCTTTAATGGAATCCTCTAAAACCGATGTGGATGTCTTTGATTTTCCTTCAAGTACATAGCCTCCAAACATAAAGTGGAGGGAAGAACATCTGCTCCCATTGAACCTCCTCTCCAGTCGATCTTTCCCTTCTATTTTCTTGACTCCTCTAGATCTCCTTCATTTGATGATGGCCTGAACGATATCTTTGACCAAAATGATCCAATTTGGTGATGGGGCAAATGAGGTCAATTCTTCCCTGCAAGCTCTTACCAATACAACTTCCTATCATGGAACCTCTTTCTAAAGTTAGCTTAATCCCCATCTTAGTACACTTTGAAAGTCAGGGTTTAAGAATTTTTCCTTATTTCGTCAAAAAGGTGACATTAAAAAATTTTAGTCAACAAAATTAGCTTTCCATATCTTCCTCATCCACGACAATATAAGGAGTGTCAGTAGACACAATTTCCACTGTATCTTCTTTAGCATAAATTGTTACAAGGGTTTCGTTGATGATGACTTCTAACAGTGTCGGTGGTACAAATTCAGCTTGATGAATCCAAGGCCTTCCGAAAAGGCAATTGTATGAAGGCATGGTATTCATCACAATGAACTCTACGTTATATGTGGCGAGCCTGATAGTTAACAGTATCTCAATCTTACCAATCTACTTTTTTATGCCATCAAATTCTCGTATTATAGTCTTGCATTCTCTCACATACGAGTTATCCATAAGAAGCCTTTTGAGAGTTACTAAAGGCATAACATTGAGTGCCAAGTTATTGTTAACCAAAACACTAGGTAAAGCATGCCCCTTGAAATGAGTAATGATGTGTAAAGCCTTGGCCTTCCCTCTACCTTTGGATGGAATCTCATTATCAGAGAATGAGATAAAGTTATTAGCCTGAATATTGCAAACCAAATTATCTAACTTGTTAACTTGTATGTCCTTCTGTACGAACGTCTGGTTTAGAACTTTCAATAGTGTCTCTTAGTGAGATTTTGAGCTCAAGAATAATACCAACATTGAGGTACAAGCGGACAATTTGTTTAATTGATGTAAAATACTTTATTCACTGTGTTTCAAGAATTTTAGGAACTCAACAGCTTCACTTTCCTTCACAGGTTCATGGTAAAATGCCCCACTTCATTGATTTTTTTTCAGCTTCTACTTTACATCCATACTTCCAAGGTACTTGTTTATTGTTTTTGTATAAGAAAGGTCTTAGGGTCGTGATTACCACTTTTTTGGTGGCTTCTCCACCATCTTTGCCTTAGGTGTGATTATCAAAGAAAATTAACGCCATACCCTTTTCAGATGAATCTCTCATCACATAGATGTATGTCTCTAAATGTTTCTCATCTTTATCATAATATTCTAGCTTTTTTCATACATAATCTGTTGGACAAAAGCTCTAAACTCATAACACTCTTGGATATTGTACCCTTCCTAATTGTGATAGTGACTTAATTCCCATTCTTGCATTCTTTGGCTTCAAGACATGAAGTAAGTAATCATGCCTTCACCATATGTTTCCATACCTAGATGAGTGGAGACATCACCTCGGAGAAATGAACCTTGATCTTCTTTACTCCCTCTTCAGCTACCGCATTAACCACTTCTTCCCCATGATTAGTTAAATGGTTTTGAGCAATATTGAGCATCTCTGGATTATTGAAATGAATCCAGTTTTTGTTTCATAATATTTGAAAAATCCTTTTAAAAGCAAGACAATTTTCGATAGAATACTTGAAGGCACCGACATGGTATTCAAATTGTACCATTTAGGGTATGTCATTTTCATGGCTTCCATGAGGTACGATGATACCACATTTGTATCATAGAGCTTTTGAAACAATTATTGGCAGTTCATTGGGGTGGGGTCAAACTGCTCTCTTTCTCTTTCCTTCCTTGGTTCTCTCGAGTCTTACCTTGAGGGTTTTGAGGATGTAACTATAGTTAAAACGGTGAAACCCTTTCCTAAATTATATGATCTTACATTATTAATCTCTCCCTTCTTTTTCTTCATAACCGACCTCCTGTGGGATTCACTCCCTTCGATCTTCCCTTGTTTTGTTACACCTCATACCCGGTCTAGTAGATAGCTCAGATACCTAAACACACATTAGGTTCTGATCATGTTAGACAAAATAAAATCTTACATCATGTGCACTATGCAAAAGCATTCAAAATTTAAAACATACAGCATACAACATGTGGTAGCTGACAAACAATAATGTTCCAATCATAATTAAAACATTGAAAGCGTTGCAAGTTCCAAGTGATTAATTAAACAGTGGTAAAACGATCATTTCACATAACCAAATAAATCAAAGGTGAATAATCGAATCATGGTTACCATTACTTATTATTAATCCTTAATTAGTGACATGCAAATTTGCAGATTAATCGGACATCAACCAAGGACCTAATTGATCATACTATTCTAAGGACTAAAACGTAAACAATTTAAAAGTTACAAACCATCAACAAACATGCAATTGACACTTCCATTATGTAATTAGATATAATTAAGAGTGAAAATTCAAGTCTCTTCAAATTTCGAGTTAATGTCTAATATTAACTAACAGATCATTTTTAGGATCATTTTGAACCTATACAAACACCCTAGGGTCAAACTAAGACCTAAAAATACTTATAACCTTTAATGAATGTAATTTTACCATTTTTCATCGAACACGCAAACAAGGGATCAATCCTTTGTAAAATAGAAAGTTTGGGATCGATCCTTTTTCTAGAAAAGTTAAGAATCCTCAAGAACATACATAAATGAGATACCAAACTTCCCCCTAATCAATCATAGGGACTAGATACATGGTTGGACACTTTCATACCACTTCATACACCTCAAAATACACATATATCATACTTCATAACAAAAGTCACAACATCATACGAGGATTTAGCAACAAAAGTCTAACTTTGTATAAAAGCTCACTTTCAACTCAAGTCACCTAGTCCAATTATGCATTTTAGGTCCTTTCATGCATTCTAAAGGCCTAACATGTTTAGTATACTTAGTGTCACTTGTATAAACACACCAAAAACTTCCTTAAGGCATATTTCGTCATTTGGAAATTTATATATTCAAGTAACCAAGAATATGCATATCGCAACTTCAATTCAACAAATCAGTTCACTTAACAATCATCAACACAAATCAATGTTCCACAAAACAAAAGATCCTTTTTACATCATGTGTATATCAAATGTCTATCCCCAATGGATCCTACATTTCTATCTTAAGAAAAACAACACATACACTTTATTTCTTAATTGTGCCTTGCTTGATCACACCAAATGCTAAATCCTTCCCTCCGAAACATAAACTATTCTTCTAAAAAAAGTATTCAACAGTGAGTGTCAACTAAAAAGCCCAGTAAATAACTAGTATTCTAAGTAATACACAAATCAAAGCTAAATGAAAGCCTTATATGCATTCACCCCTCACTTGTTTTTACCTAAAAATTCATATCAACATGACATGCCATCATGCACCATAAATATACAAAAAATCCAGAATATACACATGCCATTTATTTCCATATGACCAACAGCAAACACATACACACATCCACGATTACCTCTTTGACAAGTCGCACACAATGCACACTTTATTTCAATTAAAGATCAATGGCCTTTTGTTCAAGACAACTCACTCATCGAATCTATTGACTCCATACAAATTTTATTTTATTTGTAGACTCACATAGGTCCAAAACTCATGACTTTTGGAGCAAGCTCAACGAACCAACCTTACCCCATGAAATTCTTGGAGAAAAGCTCAACGCACTAAACTTTCCCCGTATAAACCCGATATCATTTACACTTGATCAAAATATTTAAATTACTCTTTCATATGCATGTCTTTCATATCCAAAGGTCCCATTAAGAACAAATGGTCAATTAATCCAAGTTCATCAAGAGTGGTTGTCAATGATGCATAGTTTTTCATATGTACACTTTCAAACAAATTTTGAAACACTATAAATTTTGGTTGTCATGATCAACCAAACTTTTATGGACAGCGATATGGTCAACTCATCCATTCCTACTTTCACTTTTATATATATATATATATATATTCACTTTCAAATACACTTTCGAAGTCTCTATGAATCACTGCAACACAATCATAATTCTCATAAATCATTCACAATTCACATCATAATTCATATCAACTAAATGCATTAATAATGATTCATCAATAACAGAGTTTTAGCTAAAGAATCACTCTACACTACACTTTCTTTACCATTGAATATGTCCATTCACAAAGAACGAAAGCCACTCACCTTGATAGAGAAAACGCACAATTTGACACCAACCACTCTCGAACTCAATACTGGATATTGGTACACTAATTTTATTTCATCAAACACTCCATAAGGAC